AATTTAACCCGGGCTACTCAAAATATTTGATAATTAAAGCACGAACTTACTCCGTGATAAAAGTACATAATCTGTGATGTATACTTGGCTCAAAGACATGTAAAGCCGTAGTGAGTATCACTTTCTTCTCCTTAGGCTACCTCGACGTTTAATCAATGTGAAATGATAAAATTAATTCCATATAAGTTTTGTTGTGCCTTCTCACTGAAAAGTTTTAGAATTCGTCTTAATGCTTTCGACTTTCTTCATATCATTAAAACGTTTCATTATTTTTCTTTCTTCTTTACAGATACCATTGAAATACAGTATTGTGGTGGTTTTTTTTTAAAATAGATAAGGCCTATGTGGTCAAACAATCCAACATATGGACTTCAATATTTATTTACGTAAACTTCGTATTTCAATTAACTTATATTTACATATAGACTAATATATAATCTGGAATATAAAGTTGCTGTATTTTCAGACTAATGTCACTTTTTTGAGGTGGAAAACTGCATATTTTCTTTGAAAGATTCCTTTGATTGAACTGTTAAGCGTTCACATCGTCTGCACATCAATAAGTACAAGAACAAAGGATTAATTCAACCTTAATGACTTTTTTTTTAAGATCGTAGACGCAATGGAATTCTAATCGACACATTTACACCAATTAATTCACTCAAAATATATTCATGCTATTTATGCCATACCGTGGCGTCCGTCGTCCGTCCGTCCGTCCGTCCGTCCGTCCGTCCGTCAATCAACAATTTCTTTAAATGACTTCTACTTCTTAACCACTGATTGGAATTCAACTAAATTTGACTGGAAGCATCCCTAGGGGGTTGGGATTCAAAATTGAACAAATGGTGGGGCTGACACCCAGGGGCCTGAGGGGCGGGGCTAAAAGGGGGCAATTTGGTGTTATTGCTTTAAGCGACTTTTTCTCTGGAACTAAGAGATGGATATCAAGATATTTGACTGGAAGCATCCCTAGGGGGTTGGGATTCAAAATTTTACAAATGGTGGGGCTGACCCCCAGGGGCCTGAGGGGCGGGGCTAAAAGGTGGCAATTTGGTGTAAATGCTTTAAGCGACTTTTTCTCTGGAACTAAGAGATTGATATCAACCATATTTGACTGGAAGCATCCCTAGGTGGTGGGAATTCAGAATTGTACAAATGGTGGGGCTGAGGGGAGGGACCAAAAGGGGGCAATTTGGTTATATTGCTACAAACGACCTCTTCTGTAGAACTATGTACTGGATATCAATCATATTTAATCAAAAGCATTCATGGGAGGCAGGGATTCAAAATTGTACAAATGGTGGGGCTGACCCCCCAGGGGGCTGAGGGGCGGGGCCAAAAAGGGGTATTTGGCTATATTGCTTTAAGCGACACCTTCCCTGGAACTAAGAGATGGATAATATCAACCATATTTGACTGGAAGCATCCCTAGGTGGTGGAGATTCAAAATTGTACAAATGGTGGGGCTGACCCCCCAGGGGGCTGATGGCAATTTGGCTATATTGCTATAAATGACTTCTTCTGTAGAACTATGCCCTGGATATCGATCATATTTGTTCGGAAGCATTTATGGGAGGCAGGGATTCAAAATTGTACAAATAGTGGGACTGACCCCCCGGGCTAAGGGGTGGGGCCAAAATAAGTTTTATTACTTTGAAATGGTTGAGATCCCCACCATATATACAATTGCGGAGTATAAAGAGAAGAATGCACATTTGCTTCCAGGATGGCCCTAGGGTCTGGCCCCACCCTTGGAGACATAGTTCCTGGACCATAACTTTAAAACGATTGAGATCCCCACCCCAAAACTATATATACAAATGCTGGGCATAAAGAGACGAATGCAGTCATGATATTAGAATAGACCCTGGGGGCTGACCGAACCCCTAGGGACCTAGTTTCTTAGTCACAGCTTGGAAATAGTTGAGATCTCCACCCTATAACCATATATACAATTGCTGAGTATAAAGAGATGAATGCGAATCTGCTTCCAGGATGGCCTTGGGGACTACCCCACCCTTGGATACTTAACCTCAAAATGGTTAAATATCCCCACCCTAAAAGTATATATACAATTGTTGCATGGCATAAAGAGACGAATGCAGTCATGATATTAGAATTGACCCAAGGGTCTGCCCCACCCCTGCAGACTTAACCCCTGGGACATAACTTTGAAAGGGTTGAGATCCCCACCCCAAAACTATATATACAAATGCTGAGCAAAAAGAGACAAATGCAGTCATGATATTATAATTGATCCTGGGGTCTAGCCAAAACCATAGGGACATAGTTTCTGAGTCACAGTTTGGAAACAGTTGAGATCCCCACCCCATCACCATACGTAAAATTGCTGGGCATGAAAAATCTAATACAGATATGCTACAAGGATTGGCATTGGGGTTTGGCATATTCCCTTGGATCTCATTTGGAGAATATTTTGCCATGATTGCTTATAGATATCCAGGTGAGCGATACAGGCCCTCTAGGCCTCTTGTTAAGAGTTGTGTATAAGTTATGAAGTTATTAAAATTTGGTTATCATAATGTCATTTCCATTGTTTCATGTGTTATGACATCGCAATAACAATGTCATATATGTAAATGAGAAAATAACCCAGATACATATATATTTTATATGTAAAACATTGTATATAATTTTCTGAACAACATTTTTTTTATAGAAAAAACAGAGACATATATAAATTGGAACCTCGGCCTGGCAATTTAATTTAGTCCGATCCTGCCCCGTTCCTGTTATCGCAATTCTTTAATCAAATATATCGTATACCCGATAAGGATAATTAACGATATATATATAATGTATATTTTTTATTTAATCCGATCCTGCCCCGATCCTTTAATTGCAATTTTTAATCAAATATATCTTATACCCGATAAGGATAATTAAATCAGAGACGTGTATTATACGTCTCTGATTAAATATATATAATATAAATATATTACTTAGTCCGATCCTGTCCCGATCCTGCCCGTTTCTGTCCGTTCCTGTAAATCGTTGCCCGATCCTTATCAATACAATACTCTTAATTCATTGCAATTCTTTTCTCAAATATATCATATACCCGTTAATGATAATAAAATGTATCTAATATATACATTTATATGATGATTAATATTAAATGTAATTATATGTTTTACCTGGATATAGTTAAGCAAAAGTTCTTTATAGGAAAGACCCGCTTTCAAATTCTGTTCTTTTTCCCTGATACTTGGTATTGGTACTGAATATATTCAAATTTACACATTATTAGTATGCCATAGATGATTTTCAACATGCGTTTCAATAAATTTGCATTAATTTACATATATATGAACTTGGTTTAATTTCCTCGGTACAGTACAGTTCTATAATGTCTTTTGTTTAGGTTGTATAGGATTGACGTTTTGCTAGCTGTTTATTGTACCAATTAAATGCATAAAAATCTATAGATATCAATACTGAAATGAGAATAACTTGTTTATTTCTATTTTTCTATATTTTTGTTCCCATACAATCGAATACCACGTCGTTTGCTGGTGCTTCTGGCAGTTTTTATATTTGCCGCCTGTTAAGCATCAGTCAATCAGCATCAAGCAATGGCGTCACTTAATTGAAGCCCATTCGGCACACCTATATCTAACCTCGGCATTCGGCACTCCTCGGCAGATCTTAATCTAATTGTTGTTAGATCTAGATCTGCCGAGGTGTGCCTAATGAATTGAAGCCAACCAAAGCGTTTAAGTTACGGTTGTACCGAACATAATTATGTCCAATTATTTAGATCTACTAAAAAAAACCTAAATAATTTATCGTTTTAAAGTTGTGTTACTTTTTCAGTTATATCAAGATTTTTTAATCAAACATCTATCCAGCTCATGATCATTCTTACAGATGAAAAGGGAGTGTAATAATTGTATACACAAGTTTCTGTACGAGGAAGCACTCATGCAATTTACATGATCAATTTTTGGTATTTACGTTTTGGGAATCTTGATCAGCGCTATCTGAATTCAAGTCGATAAAAACGGAAAGTAGCAGAAACTGATGTTATTATCTATAATTTGTATAAACCCTGATTGCAGTATATGGCATATGTTGGTATATATAATCTGCAGGTCATGTGAGTAGTGACATTCATGAATATTATGTTTTATAATTGAACAGTTCTGTGCTTGGTACAATATATAAGTGTGTATATTTTGTCTATTTGTTTCAAATCTAAATCGCATGTAACGACAGAGTGTATTGTGATAAGATGATAACATCGAAACTTATTATATATGGCCACGTGTGCAGTAAACACATTATAAAACTCGACAGAATATTCTGTAAATGCCGATGTTCTATCTGACTGTTTAATGATTTCCTAAATGTTAACCTACTCCGTATTTTCGATAGGTTCCTATATTTAAGTGTAAGTCAAAGGTTCAGGGAGTATTTTCATGAAAGACAATACTAACTCACGATTCACTTAAATATGAAAATTTAATACTGCGTTTAGTATGTAAAATGCGACTATAAACAGCGTCAAATAGTATGGACAAACACTTATATCGCCTTGAACAATGATATAAATATTCATGATGATATCGCTTTCTTGACGATACAGCGTTTAAGAGCGTGCAACTGAATTCATTTGATATGCCAAGTTCAGCAACATATATAAGCATTCGTGATGATATCGCTTTCTTGAAGACGCGGCGTTTAAAAGTATGCTTCTTAATTCATCTCCAAGAGCAATTTTTATATATGTAACAATTGAAGAAGTTAACTTATTAATTCCTTAACAAACACATCCAGTGTTAGAAGACGCCTTCACATATTTTAACAGTTTTACTGAAAATGAGTTAACGTTTTACAGGTGTGTAACATGCAGTAAATTTTCCAAAGATCTTTCTTTGATGCAGGGCTCTCACAACGAATAATTAGTATGTATCATAATCATTTACATATTTATCATCGTAGAATACGTGTCGGGTCATGCCATCACATATTTCCATTCCGTGGTCCTATGTCCATGTATATAGGAAATAATGTTACACGCACGCCACTATCATTTGTCCTCTTTCATGTGTATGGTCAAACGTTCTCCAAAATGACATTTCGGAATTTCCTGCGGAAAAACAAAACCCTGCTGTTCACATTCCTACCACCAATTGTGCTTCTACCTTTACCCTTATCTGGACAATCACAGGTAACACTACAACTTTTATGAAATGGCAACATTTGTTCTGATTGTGCTTTACGTCCTGTTTACAGCTTTAGTCATTGAAGGTTCAAGGACGAGCCGAGATTTGGAAATAGTACCAATAGTTACGCCAGCTGCAATATAATTCATAAGTGAGGATGTAGCCTCGTTACTTAGTTTTTTGTTTTTGTCAATATCCACGCCTGCTGATGAATCCTAGTCAATGTAGAATAGGAACGAACTGTACATTGTCACTCTTATTTAAGAAAACATAGTCTTACATTTTTTCTTTAAATATAAATAAAAATAATGTTGTTTCTAGTATCTGATCTAAGCTATTCGAGTAACAAATTGTTGAATCTGTTCTTCAAAAATCACTAACATGCAAAATGATCTATATTTATCAGAAGACACACCTATGTAAGTACACCAAATGTAAGAATCAAGGCGCTTGCTGGTCCAACATTATTTTTTGCCTTGTTTTGTTTGAGATCACGTATAACATGTTAAAAGGTATGACTTTATAGACAGGAATAAGTGGTATAGTCTTTTAGAATGGGTAAAATGTTCTTAGCGCCCTAGCAACAGGAATCAAACGGAGGGGAAGTTGTTGAAAGAATGACCCTGTTGTGTAATGTTTACCCATGAATATATATATTACAAATTAAGTATCATATATTTTTGTTTTAGATAGGAAATGTTATTTATGATAACCAGGTTTCTTATTTTATCTTACTTGTTACAGATAGAATTCCATTTATTGGTAATAAAGTTGACGGCGAGTATTAATGGATAAATCAGAATTATGTAACAAAATTATATTTCGGAACAGTATTTACGACAAATCATATAGCATGCCACAGGATGTAATGAGGATATGTCCGTAATTATGTTCTAACTTACAGAAGTACATATATAACCCTTTCACCACTGTAGACCATAATGGACTCATCCATGTCAATGTCTACTGAAGTTACAAAGGGGTGAAAGGGGAAAACAGCAAGCTGAAGAAAACCATCAATTGATATTCTCTAAAAAGTTTGACAATAAAGCAGGATCAAGCATATATTATATTTGAGGCACATTTTTAATTGGTTAAACATTTCCAAGAACGTGATAATGAAGCCCAAACTGTAATGACTCAGACTTATCATACCGGAGTAACTTGGTAAGTCTATAAAGGGGCAAGCCTTTACAAATGACAAACTGATTCAATTATATCCATGAAATAAGGAAACGTTTGCTTCCACGAAAACATTTCTATTTGTTTGCTCTGAAACATTTTGTGTTGGTGGTCATAAACTACGTACCGTATGTGTTACCCCTTGTTGATCCGTCAACGCAAATATATTGCTGTTTAAATAAGACACTCTTAATACTTATTCTTTAGGTTACTTATTCATATTTTATTTTGAATCAGGAATCAAAATGTGCTTACGGTCTACTTCTTATGGCGTTCTACTGGACCACAGAGACGTTTCCGGTCGCCATTACCGCCACACTTCCGGTTATATTATTTCCAATGATGGGTATCAGTAAAGTTGGCGACCTGGCCTCCAAGTATTTTCATGTACGATTAACTTTTTTTTACTTCGAATATATATGATTATTGGTCTAATTTCTCTTGAAGCGTGTATATATATTTAATGTTCGTAGTTATATTTCGATAAAACTTTGATAAGGTCGTGTTTATTCCTTTATTCTTTGTTGGAAAAATTTAGGAAAAATGTTTTCATGCATAATGTATTGGATGCTGTTATTAACGATATATTGCTTATGATACATCTAGGTGATGTTGATATTGCAATTAATAATAAGCCTTGCCATCAAATTAGAATGGAAATGGGGGTGCGTTTGGGATGCATACATGTATGTTCAACCATTTAGTGTATGATCACATGCTTTTAATATCTAGACAGGACAAATTTAAGAAAAAGCTAGACTTTGTGTAGTCAACATTGTATTGTCTAGTAACAACATGATAGGTGATATAATGCATGCAAGATATTGCAATTGTATTTCACCCACAACCAATAAAGATTTTTCTCACTCCTGATTCCTTGGATAAACCTGCTAGGAGTTGGTAAACAGTTTTGGTAACGCCCAATGGATAACATCCATGAACCTGGACGTCATCTTATTGGTTAATCTTCTAATTATGACGTCAGGTAACAATGCTGTGCGACGTCATCTTCCATTGTGACATCACAGTTTATGGCAAATATTCACACGATCGGATATAGTAATAATGAATTCGAAAGAGAAAAAAATATATGGTTTAAATATATATTATTTGAACATGGCGTGAGAAAAGAGTCCCTTAACTCGTCATGGTTGATTAGCATGTTTATCCGAATCTGGTGAGTTCCTTTTCAAATTTTAATAGACACTTGGTTACCTCGTGTCTTACTAGAATTTGAAAATCAACTAGCTCAAGTTAGAGCAACATGATAACCAACCACCTGTCGTTGGAAATCCTCTAATGATGTTACAGCGTATAGCACTGCATAACAACCTGAGTATATGATCAATGTATATAAGCATAAACGCGCATTTCTTTGGTATTCAGATGAGTGTTCTTTGTATTTGATTCTTTAGACCTGAACAACACTTGAACAGTCTCGCCGCAAAAACTTCTTTCACGTCTCGGGGTAATAATTATCGTTATAAACCGTTATATTTATATTTTTAAATATATTTCAGCATATTACATTTGTCATGATTGGTGGTTTGGCTGTTGCTATAGCTATCGAAAAATGGAACGTCCATACACGTATAGCATTACGGCTATTACTGACCATGGGTACCACTCCGAAATGGTGAGTGTTACCGGGTTGCTTCAAATTATTGACGTATCGTTATTATTACTCTACACGCAAATTGGTCCCCATACCTTCAATTAACACTTCACCAAAGTCTTTTTAACTTACTCCGAGTGTAAACGTTCGGAGCTCTTCAAAAAACAGAACATGATTTTACACATACACTGAGTATGATAAATGATAACTGTGATAAAAAATATATTTTATGTGCAGAATGTAACTTATTGATACATGCACAAGTAATTTATATCATGGCTTTTTCTCTTAAATGGATCATATATAATATCAGTCTAAGTAAGGTACCGACAAGAATGCATGTTCACATAGTTGCAAAAGAAGGCAAGATCCACTTTCAAATCTTGTTTTTACCTTGGTAGAATGTACACTCCTAAATACATGTTGTGTATGGATTTCTTTGCGTACGTTTTTGTAAATACACGTAGTTCCTGTAATATGTAGCATGTGGATTTATCGTGGTATAGGTATTGGTACTGGCAAATGATGAATATATCATGCTTCATTAATATTAATATGTGTGATCGTTGTACGTGACTGTGGAACTATCTTAAAATTAAGTGCATTGAAACTTGCATATATTTGGTTTGCCGAATTGAATGTACACCATCAGGGCATGTGTTTGCATAGACTTCCATTTACTTCTACATACAGTGTACCAGGTGCATGTACTAGAAAATTTACATGTATGGATTATCGAGCAGTCTTCATTCACATATAGCTCACGGTAATTCATGTATAACGCACATGTCTTTGTTTTGGTCATGTTCAATGTATGAACAACGTTGACAGAATGACGCATATATCCTTATAAATACATGTAAACCGCCAAACTGAAAATACCCATATACCTTTTATTAATAAGTATTAATAATGAACAAATATGATCTATGTCTGTTAGGCTCATGCTTGGCTTCATGTTGACCACTTCGTTCCTGTCCATGTGGATCAGTAATACGGCCACAACGTCCATGATGATCCCAATAGCCCAAGCCGTTCTGACCCAGCTGATGGGCATGCGAGTGTCACGTGATCAACTCAAACATGATCAGGATACACGTGAGTGGTGATGTATAGTCGATATATCCGGTTCGTATTCATATGTTGTTTGTTACAACAAAATCAACGATTGTTTCTCCGTTAGTCTTAAGATCAGAGTGTTATTTTCATTAAAAGTATAACGTGTTTTGACGACTCAAAGATATTTGTATCTGCTTTGCCACTTTTTAGACAATAAGGAGTGATATACCAAATATTTGAAAAACGATTAAGTTAAGTAGTAGTGCAATGGGTATATGATGCAGACATGTACACTCTTACAGAAATGATTAAGACTCAATGATATTCCGGATGTATCAACATTTTCCTTTAAATTCACTTTGATATCAATTATATGATTAAAAACATATTGCAGTATAGATACATCTGTTTTTAAGGAAACGATGAGAAGAATATACATACCATTCAAGAAATGTCTGTAAACGGAGACACGAAGGTGGCGTTGGATTTGCCTGATGTAGAACCATCTGAGAGTGTCGGGATAACTATACAACAACCGGACCATGACGGAAAGCAGAAGTTGACCATTCAGCAAGCACAACAAAGTGTAGAACAACCCGAACCTGTCGAGGGGTTCGTGTCTGAATAATGATAAATGGGGCTTCAACCCGAGAATTAAAAATCACTGATGTTATCATGTAGTCAGTTGACTATCAAAACTTATTCACCCTGAAGACACATTTGAACCTCTCCAATTCAAAGGTTGGAATAGGTCAATATGAAATTTCAGGGCTGAATAAGTTATATAACTCTTATCATTTTAACCTACTGCTATCCGTTTTCGTCCGTCGTCTTTCACTTTTTACTTTACAACTCAAATTCTACTAAATCTATTTTGCTAAAACTTGTTGGAAATGATCAGTGCATGAATCTGCACAATCGTTGTTATTTTTGAGCCAACTAAAGAACGTAATATGACCGTCAATTAGAAAATTAAATCTGAACTTCAACTAAATATCTACTGGGCATTACTTGATCTACATATGTTAACATTTGTCCGAAAATATTCATTACGGCTAGATTTGTTTTTTCTTCTTCTTTCTTTTTTTCTTTCTTTCGGTTGCTCATTAATGTCACAAAGCAAACAGAAATTTGAAATTTGAGTTACATGTGTATATAAAATGTTGTAGTTCAAAAGTAACACGGTAAATATAACATGATATCTATTCTTGCAGTTCTGTTGGATCCATGTCATTCAGTTAGGCAATGACACAGATTTAAGTGTAAACCCCTATGACTTTTCGTTACATATACCATTGATCTATTTGAAAAGATGACATATACATGGTTTTCAGAAAAAAAACTTTTCATTGTAGAAATGTCCAGTTTTGAGACCTCAACATGAAAAAGTTAGCATTATTGTTTTTATGAAGTCATCAGAGGGCTTGCCAGTGTTATATTAAGTGCTTGTTCTTCTAAAATACTCGGTCTTGCTTTTAATCTTTGTCGACCTTCAATATGTTGTTTTGTCTGTCTCTACGATTAGTGTGTATCGACAACGCGTTGTAATTTATTTTTTCTGCATACTTGTTTTCTTTTTCAAGGGCAAAACATATGTATCCATTTGTTTATTCACACATCTACTGTTATTTTAGAGACAAATTGATCAAAGTGAAGATGGAAGAAGTGGGGGATTTTGACTTTGAGGCCCTCGATCCCGAGTCAAAGAATCTCTGTAAGGCTATGTTACTGTCTATATGTTACGCGGCGAACTGTGGGGGTGTAGCTACACTGACCGGAACTGGACCCAACCTCGTCATGAAGGGACAGGCGGACTTGTGAGTACAGAAACAAAGATACAGTGTGCTTTTCTGAGCAACCACGGTTTTAGTAACGAGTCTGACCGTAACCTGCTGTGTATGGACATGGTCTTCTGGATCACAAATGTGTGATTGTACACTACACACCTTCCCCATATATCACACAGGCCTGGTTGACTAATTTTCCTGTATGCCATTCAAATTGCGCTGTATTATTTGAACACGACGAGACATCATTACTACTGTGAAGTACCTGAAAGATGCTTTCCTTTCTGCGAAAAAAAGCTGATACAGATACATACGAAATAACTTAATAAATGTTTTCTGAAGAAAACACCTTTTTTGAGAGTGCGCTGTCGTATTACTATCTAAAAATCAGCGGTTGTTTATAAAATTACTGCACGATTTTTCTATAAAGAATGTCCTCCTAGCTAAATTGGTAAAAACGGGTGAGGAAATTTATATCTGTAGTCTCGGATGTGGTACTTAGTGTAGATATGATATAGAAACGTAAAAACTAACGTGTTTCATTTATACGCTAGGATGTCGGATGGTGAATCGGGGATAACGTTTGCGACTTGGTTCGTCTTCGCCTTCCCCGTGGCTGTCATCAACGTGCTGCTGGCCTGGCTATGTCTGCAGGTCGTCTATTTCGGATTACGGTAGGTGACGTCACTGTGTATCAATTCGTGCACCGAGTCACACAACCAATAAATAACAAAAAATATGCAGTAAGCAGATTTTTCTATGTGACTGAATGTTATTCTGCCATACGCTTTATATTGTTGGGTTGACCAACACAAGAAACGTTTTCAAGAGTTGTCTTTATAATTTGTTTTGGTAAGGCATGTTGATGACGTGATTACGCTTCTTAAGATATTGTTTGTCACATGTTTTATCATATGAGGAAGTCAATATGTTGGTTATATACTAAAAGTATTCATATTATGGTTTTAGAAACCTGTTCAAATCTGGTGACAAATCGGAAGGTGAGGCGGTGAAAAAGATAATACGTTCTCAATACGATTCCTTGGGAAATATGAGGTAGGTATCCTGGAAACGTTTCGATTCGCTGAGAAATTGGAATAGGAGAATATTTTAACGTACAGTATCCGTCGGAAAGTTAACTTAATCTAATACGATCTTTACTGGTGTTAATTACATAATGCAGTTCTACTCTACATTCAGTATGAGTCATTTGGTAAAGCCAACTTGAGTGCTCTTCATGCGTGTACATCCCATCTTCCTCTAATCCGTTCTTTTCCACGTTCTTATATATATTCAACTTGTTCCTGTCCTTTATAAAGTCCACCGTATGGCTGTCTGCAACAGAAATGCCCTTTTTGCCTTAACATGACATGAATGGATTGAATCCTAAACATCCTGTTAATATATTGTTTAAACATCCTGTCTATAGCTTACGTCCTAAACATCATTAGGATATATTGTCTAAACATTCTGTATATAGCTAACCTCCTAAACATTATGTGGGTATATTGTCTAAACAACATGTATGTAGCTTAATTATGTCCTAAACATCCTGTTTGTAGCTTACGTTCTAACCATCATTAGAATCCATTGTCTAAACATTCTGTATATAGCCTACGTCCTAAACATAGCATAATACATTTTCTAAAAATCCAGTATATAGCTAACGTCCTAAACACCATGTGATTATATTGTCTAAACAACATATAAGTAGCTTAATTATGTCCCAAACATCCTGGAATATATTGACTTAACATCTTGTACTATATAATCATGCAGCCTACGTCCTAAACATCATATCTGTAACTGACGTCGTGAACATCCTATCAATAAATTGTCTAAACAACCTATATAACCTACGTCCTAGACATCATGTGAGCGCATTGTCTAAACATCCTGTATCTTGCATAGGTCCTAAACAATCATTAAATATATTGACTAAACAACCTGTCCATAGCTCTAAGATCTAAACATTCTCTGAATATCCCGTCTTCAGCATCATGTGCATAGATGTAGACTCATCGCTCCACTTTAAATATCCTTGTGTTGATGTAAAAAGTGATCTGTTGTCGGTTTTATGTTCTTTAAGATGTAAGATTAATTTGCAAGAATGCTTCCTTTTTCCATGCTGTATAAATTTTATTTTTTACATGTGTTTGATTCATGTATCACAGACTCTGAATCGCATGTGTTTCGTTTTTACTTCAGTTTTGCTGAAAAGGCTGTCATGGTCCTCTTTGTGATCTTAGTGCTTTGCTGGTTTACGCTGGAGCCAGAGTTTGTACCTGGATGGGGGTCGCTCTTCAAACATGGGTAACGTTAACAAAAAAAAAGTATATGACTTGTTGAATTTCTAAACATTTTCTTCAGGTTGCTAAGTATAGATTATGAAAAGTTCTTTTTACACAACCAATAAGAGTTTTTATGTGACGTTTCGATGACTAGTACGGTATGTATACACTGTCACCTTCATCAGACAAATGACCACTGAAGCCTATGCACATAAAGGTGTAAAATATTTTAGGAGTTATCCACAAAATCGATTCGGTTACGCTGTAAGCGAATGTACAATATAGAGTTGTTTTATCTGTACCGAAGTGACTCGATTCGGCGAATTTCTTGTCGTAACCGTTGAATTTCTTCATTCTGGGTTTGATTTTCGTTACAATATAAGAAGACTCCTTTGATGTATATGCTTAAGATGAATCTCTATATGAATCCTTTTTTCATACCTCACTGAATCTATATTTACACCTGTTCGATATTACAGATACATCAGTGATGCTGTTCCTGCTATGATAATTTGCTGTCTTCTCTTCGTGTTCCCAAGTTCACGAAACCAAAATAACGGTATGTTATTTTCAAAAGCCAACCTTAAAATGAAATTGCCTGATATTATATTTTGACTGTAATTCTTTGTTTATTCATCTGTTTACTAGTATTTTATTAGTAAGCCTATATCTTAAATTAAAAGTCGAGCTGCTTATACGTTTCTGGTTTCCGTAATAGTTTCTATTATATCGTATTATTGTGTTATACCGACTTGAAATAACAGGAAAACTCGATTACTTAAATGTTAGCTGGATTGCAATTGTTTACTTGATACATACATATTTACAAACAGTTTCCACTAAGTATAGCTTAAAAGATTATGTTGTTCGTCGAGTACGTTATTATATAAGAAGACTCATTATCTAACTGATTTTGATTTAAGCAGCTAACAAAAGTAGTGCGACGCTTCTTGACTGGAAAACCTTTAACCGGAAGTTCCCGTGGGGCGTTGCCCTACTTCTTGGCGGAGGATTTGCTCTTGCACATGCTTGTAAGGTAGGCGGCAAAATAATACGCGTTAATGAAGAAATACGGAATTCAGCTTTTTAGGTATAATATTAAACGAAATGTTTATTAGAGATAAATGATATCATGTTATTATTGACGGTTCTATCGATAGTGTTTTCTTTAAACACATTGCCACGTAACTGGTTCGAAATACAACCTGTACCAATTTGTAATCATGACCTTAATTTCACACGGGGCCGTGCGCTTTTCTCGTGTTGTTTATACTTTAAATCACTGCTTCAAATACAAATGTGAGTCTACAGCACTTCTATACTAAATCATGTTTCATAGATGAATATGTCAATGTACTAGTTTATACTAGATAGCAACTTCGCATTTGAACATATTTATGGTATTAAGCAAGTTGCAATCATGGAATGATGTCTCAACGGACATGCCGTCTTTGCGTATTGCAGAGTTATCTTCTCTTGTGAGCAGGGATTGATTGTTACGTCATTGGTTTTTGTGAGAAAATTACGTCTTTTTCTCAAAAATTGATGACGTTACTCTCCCAAACAAATGACTTAACAATCAATACCTGCTCAAAAGAGAAGATATCAGTGCAATACGCAAAGACGGAATAAGACTGGCACATGACCGTGTAACAACGAACCTGTACCGTAACTGATATTTTCCTTTAAAAGAACCTTCATGGTGGTGGTGTTCGTTTATGTCTTGACGTTTGTTAAGTTAACGCATACATATGCGTGCGTATTCATCAGATGGTCAGCCATGGCGATTGAACAATAATTCAGTTACAACACAGACATGTCTGCCTGTCATTAAACAAAACTATAACTAACATGTCAATATTAATGATAGTACATCCGTTTATGAGTAATTATTGTGATTTCTAAAACAATTATACACATACATATATGTATATATTATTTCATTCGGAATGAATACGATCTAAAGTTGATAGATGAATGAAAATACTTTAAAGAGGTATCATGTCTTCATCAGGAATCCGGTTTGTCGCTGTGGCTAGCCCGTATGATGGCGGTAATGACTGGAATCCCAGAATGGGCCATGATTGCCGTCATATGTTTGGTTATCTCCCTTTCAACGGAAGTTACGACAAATACCGCTGTGTGTACAATCTTCATGCCCATCCTGGCAGACCTGGTGAGTATTAGGTCCATTTGTAATACTGATATGCATCACATCAAATACCTCTTGGTTTGCCGATATATGGATACGGTTAATTTATTTCACGAACAGTCAAAACAGTCATTTTTTGTACTGTTATTAGTACTTTTGCCAAAGTGAAATAAACGCAAACACGTGTAGCCGAAAGCCATGCGTTGTGTTTATACGGAAAATAAAAAAAATCACCAAAGTTCGATGGGTAAATAATGCCAATTCTACAAAGGTAGAATGCTGACCCTTGATCGTGTTAGATTGAGGTGTGCATATCACAAATAAAAATTAAGATAATCTGGTCATACTTATTTTTCTGCCATACTGACGCTGTTTCATGCTACATGTACATAGAGGTATGCATATCTTAACCCTTTCACCCCTGTGCAACTTTAGGAGACTCTACCATGTATTGATATGGATGAGTCCATTTTGATATACAGTGGTGAAAGGGTTAGATAAAGAAATGTAATCTGGTTATACTTCTGTCGGTGACTCTGATTCCTTTCTTTGCCTTCTTAGAATATCGATAATATTAAATATGATATATGGACTTTTTTCAGTGCCAGTGTCAGTGTATTTCTGATTTCATTTTATTCAATTGTTAATTAAATTGGATTAAGTGAGAAATATAGTAGTCGTCATAATTGTTAAAGTTTGATACACCCGAATAAACCCTATATGATTCCGAATATATTTTTATATGGTACATAACTGTACATGCATCGTATTTGTATTACTTTTATTTGAACAAGGTTATATATTGTTTTTATTTTTAACTAGTGTGTATAATCGGTATTTGAATTTTTGCATACTATTTCAAATTTAACAATATTTCTTCAATGAAAATATATAGATATGAACTTGAAATATATCATTACTGGTTATTTGTGTATAAAACAGGGAATAAACGCCAATGGACACTTTTCACTTTTGGAGAAATGCAACTGTAAAGTTCTTCAATCGATAATCCTACAACATTGTCAAAAAATATCAATTACTACTTTCAGGCCAAAGGGATCCATGTACATCCCATATACATTATGCTTCCGGCAGCGATTTCATCTTCATTTGCATTCATGCTACCCGTAGCAACGCCGCCAAACACTATTGCCTTCTCATATGGGTATCTCAGAATCATCGATATGGTATGTGAGAGAAAATTACATGTTTTCCAAAAAAAATACTGTTTTTCGATAATATTTTCTTTTCAGTAAGCATACGTAAAGCCGAGGTATAAGGTTATTTATTAATTATTATTTTATTTTATTTCATATCAAACGTAATTTCCAGGTAAAACAATTTGGTAAGCATTGCCTGACGTATGTAGATTTTAAAGTGCAGCAATATTTTGCTTCAAGTCGGATGCATACGCATAAGTTAAGAATTGCTGTACCTATGTTTTACGGGGGATAAATGACCTTTTGCTTTTTAAGCGAAAACGCTTGTTAGATTTTATGTTTAATATCAATGACCTTGCAATAAAATTGAACGAATACACCACAGACTGTTAGTGTTTAAGAGAATCAGTTCACATCGTCACGTTTTAAATAACACACAGAATACCAATTTCTGATTCTGAATCGTTATTATTACTTTGAAATATTTGGGGATATCAGTAAGAAAAGGAGATATCGATTTTACTTGTCATAAATACAAGGATTCTTAACTTAGGACTAATAACCATATTAGAGATAGTATTTAATTGTTGTAGGTGAAGGTCGGCTGGATCCTCAACCTTTTGTGTGTGGTAATTGTTACCATCGCCATCAACACATGGGGAATGGCGTACTTCCGGTTAGACGTGTATCCAGAATGGGCGGTCATACAGAGTCAAATGTCATCATCGGTGTCAAATTCTACATTTATTCATATCATTAACAAAACGTCCATTATGACGTTATCAGGGAACTTTACCGAAAATGTTACATCACTGTTATTTAACTAATTTATATGTGAATTTGAATGAAATGAGGGGTTTTTTTTTGCAAATTTTAAGAATAAATATTTCAAATATGATCTCTAACCATTATTGTTCTTAGATTTGTTTATATAAATAACAGGAAAAAATACCGAAGTTTGAACAAATCGTATATTGTACTTTAAACTAGGAACAATAACTAAAGACAGAGGAAACGTTTATAGTGAGACCCTTGCAAAACAATACAAAGGTGATAAGACCATTTGCTCCGGAAAATTTGAATTCTCCTGGTTCGTCGATGACATCCGTCACACAAATCTAGGTCAAATCCTAGCCATGTCACGTCCTCAAGTGGGACTGATGTAGCGAAAACAAAATCACTATGCAAGTTATCTAAAACTTCGATAATCATGCAATAATCACATCGCACACACAAAAAAAAGAGATTTCCCAATGGCATCATAGGGCAGTTATATATACAGAACTTGCCCATATTCTTAAGTAACCTGTATATCTAGAAAAAAAGGGTACGTTTGTCTGTCAGAGCATTAATTATCATGGAGTTTATATTTAACGTATAACCACCGTTTGCGCAAAAAAATAATACTTTGCAGTTCGTCGCAACGAACTTGTAAACCACAAGAGACGCTGTCCGATTCATCGGTCAACTCTTTCATGAGCCAACTCTTGTATTTTAGACGGCTGGTTTTGACGTTTGACTGTTATAAATAATGTTTGTAAAGTTACATTATTAAGTTACACCGGATTTGACGTCAGGATGGTCAAATACTCACTTTGTGCAATTTCTTAATTCATATATAATTGCAGGAAAATTACCATTTTAATTATGACAATTTTTCTTGCATATAAATAATTAAGTAATTGTACAAAACACATAAAAAAAACATAGAAAAGTTGTTTGCGGATTATGTCATTTTTACTGGTTACTGAAAATCACACAGGATAGTGATTTTACTTAGAGAGCTTAATAGAACACATTAGCAAATTTCAATTGAGCCAGTTTAAGTCCTCTCCTTACAGCAACAAATTCAGTCAGAGACCTATATTATACTATGGCTTAAACGCCTTTTATCCAGTGGTAAATATTTTATTAAACCAGAAACTATAGAAACAAGTCTGCTTTACCCTTGCAGTCTTAACCCCTGGGTTGTATCTTTGAAACGATTGAGATCCCTACCCCAAAACTATATAAACAAGTTCTGGGCATAAAGAGACAAATGCAGTCATGATATTATAATTGATACTGGGGTCTGGCTACAACCCTTGGTACCTAGCTTCTGAGTCACACCTTGGAAACAGTAGGATCTGGTTCATTCCTTTGGATCTTATTTGGAGAATATTTTGTCATGATTGCTTAGATATCCAAGTGAGCGATACAGGCCCTTTGGGCCTCTTGTTAATAGTTATACACAAAATCAGTTAAAGTAATATAAGTGTGTTAAATGCAGACACTTTTCCATAGATCTTTCTTTGATGCAGGGCTTTCACAACGAATCATTAGTATGTATCATCACCAGCATCATTTACATATTTATCATCGTAGAATACGTGTCGGGTCATGCCATCACAGATTTCCATTCCGTGGTCCTATGTCCATGTATATATTAAATAATGTAACACGCACGCCACTATCATTTGTCCTCTTTCCTGTGTATGGCCAAACTTTCTCCAAAATGACATTTCGGAATTTCCTGCGGAAAAACAAAACCCTGCTGTTGGCATTCCTACCACCGATTGTGCTTCTACCTTTACCCTTATCTGGACAATCACAGGTAACACTATAACGTTGATGAAATGGCAACATTTGTTCTGATTGTGCTTTACGTCCTGTTTACAGCTTTAGTCATTTAAGGTTCAAGGACGAACCGAGCTTTGTACATTGTACATGTACCAATGGTAACACTAGCTGCAATATCATTCATAAGTGAGGATGTAGCCTCGTTATTTTTGTTTGTTGTATGTTTTTGTTTGTTTTTGTAAATATATCCCCGTCTGCTGATGAAACCTAGTCAATGTAGAATAGGAATTTATATTGTCACTCTTACTTTAGGAAACATAGTCTTACGTTTTTCGATGTTGTTTCTATTATGTGATCTATACTGTACGATTAACAAATTGTTGAATCTTTTCTTTAGAACAAAAATCAATAACATGCAAAATGATATGTTTATCAAAAGACACGCCGATGTATGGGCTCGTGAGCTTATGGCGTGGTGCGGTGTCTGTCGTCCATCCGGCGTTCATCATCCGTCAACTTTTCTTTAAAACGACTTCTTATGAAGAATAGATAGGACTACAGTCATAATAATTGGGCGATATCTTAGTTGGTTAGAGCCAAACAAAGTTTGAGAACGAAAATGACCTTGACCTACTTTCGAGGTCACAGGTGTCAAAGTATCAAATGCTTAAAACGACTTCTTCTGAACTACGGCTGATAGCTTCGTTGGTTAGAGCCCAACAAAGTTTGAAAACGAAAATGACCTTGACCTACTTCAAAGTCACAGGGGTCAAAAATGTCAAATACTTTAAATGATTTTTTCTAACGAACATAAAGGTATAAAATCTTAATATGTTGCTGGTAGCTTCGTTGGTAAGAGCCAAACAAAGAGTGAGAATGAAAATGACCTTGACCTTTTTTCAAGGTCACAGGGGCCAAATTTATCAAATACACCCAATGATTTCTTCTGAATAATTTAAAGGCATATAATCATAACATTTTGCTGATAACTGTCAGATATGTAGCCTGAAAAAGTTTGCTATTGAAACACTTAAACAATTTCTGATGAAGAACTGATAGGTATATAATCTTAATATTTGGCTGGTAGCTTTTGTGGATAGTTCCTGACAAAGTTTGAGAATGAAAATGACCTTGACCGACTATCAATGTCACTTGGGTCAAATATGTTAAACTTATCAAACGACTTATTCTGAATAATTGGAATGCGTACAATCATATTATTTGGATGGTTGCTTCTTGGAATTAACCAAAACAATGTTTAAATATCCAGGTGAGCGATACAGGCCCTCTGGGCCTCTTATTTGGTAATACAGTTGACGGCAAGAAACATGCAATCATTACACAAAAAAATTAATGGAAAAATCAGAATTAAGTAACATCTTGTTCAAAATTATATTGCGGAACAATATTGACGACAAATCATATAGCATGCCAAAGGATGTAATGAAGATATGTCCATAATTATGTTCTAACTTACAGAAGTACATGTATAACGGCAAGCTGAAAATAATATTAATTGCTATTCTCTAAATATTTTGACAATAAAGCAGGTTCAAGCATTTATTATATTTGAGGTACATTTTCAATTGGTTAAACAAACAACAGCCAGTAAACTCAACATTTTCCAAGGACGTGATTACGAAGACCAAACTGTAATGACCCAGACTTATCATACTGGAGTTACTTGGTTAGTGTATAAAGGGGCAGAATTATTCAATCATATTAATGAAATAAGGAAACATGTGCTTCAACGAAACCATTCCTTTTTGTTTGATCTGAAACATTTTGGGTTATCGGTCATCAGGTACCGTCACAGTACCCAAATCGGGACACTTGAAGGAAAAAGTCACAAGAAATTTGCATGCTGTGCAAAGAAGCATTTTAAAATTGAAAATATTGATTTAAAGATGCTAATATACTAATAAAACATTACTTGAACTTTATTTATTGCCACTTATGTTTACAATCACAGTAAAAAAAAGAGTAACGTTCTAAATTGATGCGCCATGCAACGTTATTGATTTTCAATTTTATTATGTGATTTTTCACAATCCTACTATTTCACAAGTTCAACTAATGGTACTTTGTAAAAGAAATCGTTCAGAACGACCATTTGACTCTTAAATATTACAAAGTTATCCCATATTCTGCTAAATACTCTTATTATCTCTAAATATAAGCCAAAACTGGTAGGGATGCCCTTATGGGGTACAGCTACATCTGTTTCGCGATTACTTAACCATGACTATATTTCCGGGTTAATTTATAGAACCATGCGCCGGAAATATCAACTTGTTATCAAAATGAAAAGATAATGATATCTATTTAGGAAAAGTGAACAAACATTACTGGGATCGGTAATATGCTATGAAATACATAAATATTTCACTAAAAAGTGTCCCGATCTAGGTACTGTAACGTATGCGTTACCCCTTGTTGATCCGTCAACGCAAATATATTGCTGTTTAAATAAGACATTCTTTATACTGAAGACCTTTCATTATATTCTAAGGTTACTTATTCATATATTTATTTTGAATTAGGAATCAAAATGTGCTTACGGTCTACTTCTTATGGCGTTCTACTGGACCACAGAGACTTTTCCGGTCGCCATTACCGCCACACTTCCGGTTATATTATTTCCAATGATGGGAATCAGTAAAGTTGGCGACCTGGCCTCCAAGTATTTTCATGTACGGTTAAGTTGTTTTACTTCAAACTTATATGATTATTGATTTGATTTCTCTTGAACGTATATATATTTAATGTTCGTAGTTACAATTCGAAAAAACTTTAATAAGGTCGTGTTTATTCCCTTATAATTTGTTGGAAAAATCTAGGTGTTTTTTTTTCAGACATACTGTATTGTTATAAACGATATATTGTTTATATACATCTAAATGATGGTGTTATTACAGTTAATAATAAGCTTTGCCATCAAATTATAATAGAAAGTGGGTACGTTTGGGATTCATACATGTATGTTCAACCATTTCGTGTATGATCACATGCGTTTAATATCTAGACAGGACAAATTAAAGAAATATCGTGACTTTGTGTTGTCAGTATTGTATTGTCTAGTAACAACATGATAGGTGATATAATGCATGTAAGATATTGCAATTTTATTTCACCCACAACCACTTAAGGTTTTTCTCATTCCTGACTCCTTGGATAAACCTGTTAGGAGTTGGTAAACAGTTTTGATAACGCCCAGTGAATAAACCTGGACGCTACCTTATTGGTTAATCTTCTAATTATGACGTCAAGTAACAATGCTTTGCGACGTCATCTTCCATTGTGACATCACAGTTCATGGCAAATGTTCACATGATCGGATATAGTAATAATGTATTCACAAGAGAAAAATATATGGTTTTAAATTTATATTATCTGAACATGGCGGGAGAAAAGAGTCCCCAAACTCATCATGGTTGATTAGCATGTTTATCCGAATCTGGTGAGTTCCTTTTCAAATTTTAATAGAAACCTCGTGTCTTACTAGAATTTGAAAATCAACTAGCTCAAGTTAGAGCAACATGATAACCAACCACCTGTCGTTGGAAATCCTCTAATGATGTTACAGCGTATAGCACTGCATAACAACCTGAGTATATGATCAATGTATATAAGCATTAACGCGAATTTCTTCGGTATTCAGTTGATTGTTCTTTGTATTTGATTCTTTAGACCTGCGCAACATTTAAACAGTCTCACCGCAAAAACTTCTTTCACGTGTCGGAGTAATACTTATCGTTATAAACCGTTATATTTATAGTTTTAAATATATTTCAGCATATTACATTTGTCTTGATTGGTGGTTTGGCTGTTGCTATAGCCATCGAAAAATGGAACGTCCATAAACGTATAGCATTACGGCTATTACTGACCATGGGTACCACTCCGAAATGGTGAGTGTTACCGGGTTGCTTCAAATTATTGACGTATCTTTATTATTACCGTACTAGGAAATTGGTCCTCATACCTTCAATTAACACTTCACCAAAGTTTTTAATCGGTAACTTACTCCGAGTGTAAACGTTCGGAGCTCTTCAAAAAACAGTACATGATTTTACGCATACACCGAGTATGATAAATGATAACTGTGATAAAAAAGGGAAGTCAGAATGTAACTTATTGATACATGCACAAGAAATTTATATCATGACTTTTTTCTCTTAAACGGATCATATGTAACATCAGTCTAAGTATGGTACCGACAAGAATGTGTGTTCACACAGCTGTACAAGTAAGCAAGATCCACTATCAACTCTGTTTTCAAACTCATAAAACGGTTCAAACCAAAATGTAGGAAAGATCGTCAATAGATTTACACGTATATATTTGCTTTTACCTTGGTCGAATGCACACTGCTAAATACATATTGTGTATGGAGTGCTTTCTGTACGTTTTTGTAAATACATGTAGTTCATGTAATATGTAGCATATTGATATATCGTGATATATATACAGGTACTGGCAAATTATGAATATATTATGCTTCATTAATATTTGTGATCGTTGTACATGTACGTGACTGTGGAACTATATTAAAATTAAGTGCATTGAAACTTGCATATATTTGGTTTGCCGAATTGGATGTACAACACCAGGCATGTGTTTGCATAGACTTCCATTAACTTATTATTAAATATACATACAGTGTACCAGGTGCATGTACTAGAAGAAATACGGTAACCGATACAATACTGATTTACATGTATGAATTAACTAGTAGTCTTCATTCACATATAGCTCATGATAATTCATGTCTTCGTTTTGGTCATATTCAACGTTTATTAAGTATGCAAAGGGAACTGTTACCGACTGTCTCATGAACAAAACACGACGTAAATTGTACAATCTGTCGCTAAATGTAAAAGGAATATGATTTGATTTTAACCCAAGAAAGCAATATTGACCAAAATACAGTACATTTATACTTGTTCTAATATTCTTTTTTTCACAAAAGAGTATGTGTCTAACCTTATTATTCAATAACTAAAATGATATTCCATAAATACTGTTCAAACGGTGACAGTTTATGTATACGCACTTATCATGGAAAAAACTTGAATTTTTGTACTTTTTGTAATCTTTCACATTTAAAGGCAAATACTAATCAGGTTAATCGTATTCTGATTTAAATCGTTGTTTATAATCAAAGTCATTCACGGCATTAGATATGTTTTGCAGATGACATTCAACGATCGCTTTTCAATTGTAACTAAATTCTACAGAACAACATTGACAGAATGACGCATTTATCCTTATAGATACATGTAAACCGCCTAACTTAAAACACTCTTATAACTTTTATTAATAAATTATTATTAAGAATTAACAAATGTGGTCCATGTCTGTTAGGCTCATGCTTGGCTTCATGTTGACCACTTCGTTCCTGTCCATGTGGATCAGTAATACGGCCACAACGTCCATGATGATCCCAATAGCCCATGCCGTTCTGTCCGAGCTGATGGGCATGCGAGTGTCCCGTAATCAACTCAAACCTGATCAGGATAAACGTGAGTGGTGATGTATATCGTCTAGTCATCAGTTTCCGCGCGTTATGTATTTCGGCGCAGCCATTTTATCAAGCTATATCCCGTAGCTACGTGACTTGCTGATCACAACACAAGGATATGTTGGACGTTTGGCCATCGTTTGTAAACTGACACAAAAATTACTGGAAGATCGTCCGGAAAACTTAAGAAATAATTACTGATTAAAAAAACACGCATAAATATGCAGTTTTGCTTAATGCACTTTTTATCTTGCTAAAAAGGAGCCCATACCTGAAGAAACGGTGATATATTTCATTCATGAACCGGTCTTTTTTGAAGTCTGACAAACGTACCAAAATGTCGTATGCAAATGAGGCAACATCTCCTCGCCAGTTTGTTTTCACTTCCGAAGAGTCAAGGAGACAATCTAATATCGATAAACAGTGTTTCCAATGAAACGTAAACCTTGTAATGCAACGAACTTCCAATTTATACCAATTTTAAACCGAACAAAATGAGAAATTTACCATCAACCAAAACCGAAATAAGACTGCAGAAAAAGAAAAGAAAAAAGATTCTATATTATAACTAAATAAATAAATTTAGAAAATTGCATAAATTCGTTCAACAATTTGACATCTTGAAAAATTCATTAAAAATCCATTAATAAATTTGACGATCAAAGATTTTTTTATTCCAAACGAAGCTTTTGTTCTTGCAGGTCACTGTAGAGATATTTTTTTTTAGTTTTTAAGTGTATTCGAGTTGTCTTTCTTTGAACACTAAATCAAAATAGACACACGGAAAAATATGACGGCTACTTCCGACGGGAGAAATTTCTTTTTTTTAAAATACAGTTTTATGTTGATAGTATTTTGTTTCCTTTAGTAGATTGTATACATGTTTATGATAGTCTTCCGTAATTTGAGTAATCTGGCGATATGAGTACGAAATCGCGGATGCTTCTTAAGTGCGCGGAAACCGGTAACCCAGGATAGTCGATTAGCCCATTTTCATTTATATGTTGTTTGTTACAACAAAATCAACTATTGTTTCTTCGTTAGATGAGAGTGTTATTTTCATTAAAAGTATAACGTGTTTCGACGAGGCAAAGATATTTGTATCTGCTTTGCCACTTTTAGACAATAAGGAGTGATATACCAAATATTTGAAAAAACGATTAAGTTAAGTATTAGTGCAATGGGTATATGATGCAGATATGTATACTCTTACAGAAGTGATAAAGACTCAATGATATTCAGGATTTCTTAACATTTTCCTTTAAATTCACTTTGATATCAACTAAATGATTAAAAAAAACACTGCAGTATATATACATCTGGGTTTTTTCAGGAAACGGTGAGGAAAATATACATACCATTCCAAAAATGTATGTAAAAGGAGACACGAAGGTGGGTTTGCCTGATGTAGAACCATCTGAGAGTGTCGGGATAACTATACAAAAAGCGGACCATGACGAAAAGCAGAAGTTGATCATTCAGCAAGCACAACAAAGTGTAGAACAACCCGAACCTGTCGAGGGGTTCGTGTCTGAATAGTGATAAATGGGGCTTCAACCCGAGAATTAAAAATCAAAGATGTTATTTTGTAGTCAGTTGACTTTTTAAACTCATTCACCCGTGAAGACACATTTAAACTCCTCCAATTCAAAGGTCTGAATAGGTCATTATGAAATTTCAGGGCTGAATGAGTTCTATAACTCTTATCATTTTAACTTACTGCGAACCGTTTCCGTCCGTCCTCCTTCCCTTTTTACTTTGCAACTCAAATTCTACTAAATCTATTTTGCTAAAACCTGTTGGAAATGATCAGTGCATGAATCTGCCCAATTGTTGTTATTGTTTAGCCAACTAAAGAACGCAATATGACCGTCAATTAGAAAATAAAATCTGAAACTCAACTGAATATCTACTGGGCATTACTGGATTTAAAAATGTTGAAATTTGTTCGAAAATATTCATTACGGCTAGTTTTGTTTTTTCTTCTTCTTTGTTTCTTAAGGTTGCTCATTAATGTCATGAAGCAAACAGGAATTTAAAATTTGAGTTATATGTGTATAAACAATGTTGTAGTTAAATATTCAAAAGTAATACGGTAAATATTACATTATATATATTCTTGCAGTTCTGTTGGATGTATGTCATTCAGTTACAGATTTAAGTGTAAGGCCTTATGACCTTTCGTTACATATAACATTGATCGTTTCGAAAATTTGACATTAACTTGCTTTTCACAAAATTTCATTTTATTATCAATAACATTTTCCCCCAAAAATTGTCTAATTTTGAGACCTCAACAAGAAAAAGGTAAACTTATTGTCAAAGGTAATTATGAAGTCATCGTAGGGCTTGCCAGTGTTATATTAAGTGCTTGATCTTCTAAAAAAAACTCGGTTTTGCTTTTAATCTTTGTCCACCTTCAAGATATTCTTTTGTCTGTCTCTACGATTAGTGTGAATCGATATTGCGTTGTTATGATTTTTTTCTGCATATTTGTTTTTCTATTTCAAGCGCAAAATATGTGTATCCATTTGTTTATTCACACATCTACTGTTATTTTAGAGACAAACTGATCCAAGTGAAGATGGAAGAAGAGGGGGATTTTGACTTTGAGGCCCTCGATCCGGAGTCAAAGAATCTCTGTAAGGCTATGCTACTGTCTATCTGTTACGCGGCTAACTGTGGGGGTGTAGCTACACTAACCGGAGCCGGACCTAACCTCGTCATGAAAGGACAGGCGGACCTGTGAGTACAATAACAATGATAACTACCACAGTTTCAGTAACAGTTTCAGTTTCAGTCCGACAGTTATCTGCTGTGTATGGTCTTGGTCTTATGGGTCACAAATGTGTGATTGTACACTGCAAAACGGATCTTAGGAGTTAACATACCTCTCTATATTACACCGGCCTCATTGATTAAATTTTTTGTATGCCCTTCTGATTTAAAATACAATATTCAAATTGTTCTGTATTTATTCGAACATGATGAGGCATCATTACTACTGTGAAGTACCTGAAAGATGCTTTATTTTCTGCGAACATACATCCATAGGTAATAACTTAATTAATGTATTCTGAAAAAAAATCCTATTTTGAGAATGCGCTGTCGTGTTACTATCTAAAATCAGCGGTTGTTTATAAAATAACTACACGACTTTGCTATAAAGAATGTCCTCATAGCTAAATTGGTAAAAACGGGTGAGGAAATTTATATATGTAGTCTCGGATGTGGCACTTAGTGTAGATATGATATAGAAACGTAAAAACTAACGTGTTTCATTTATACGCTAGGATGTCGGATGGTGAATCGGGGATAACGTTTGCGACTTGGTTTGTCTTCGCCTTCCCCGTGGCTGTCATCAACGCGCTGCTGGCCTGGCTATGTCTGCAGGTCGTCTATTTCGGATTACGGTAGGGGACGTCACTGTGACGTCAATACTACGTTTATCCTTTTTCATTAATTCGTGCACCGAGTCACACAACCGATAAATAATAAAAATTATGAAGTAAGCAGATTTTTCTATGTGACTAAATGTAATTCTGCCATACGCTTTATATTGTTGGGTTGACCAACACAAGAAACGTTTTCAAGAGTTGTCTTTATAATTTGTTTTGGTTAGGAATGTTGATGACGTGATTATGCTTCTTAAGATATTGTTTGTCACCTGCTTTATCATATGAGAAAGTCAATATGTTAGTTATATACATTATTTTTTTTTTATATATATATATATTTGGTTTTAGAAACCTGTTTAAATCTGGTGACAAATCGGAAGGTGAGGCAGTGAAAAAGATAATACGTTCTCATTACGATTCCTTGGGAAATATGAGGTAGGTATCCTGGAAACCGTTCGATTCGCTGAGAAATTGTAATAGGCGAATATTTTAACGTACAGTATCCGTCGGAAGGTTACGTTAATCTAATATGATCTTTTCTTGTTTTAAGTACATAATGCAGTTCTACTCTACCTTCAGTATGAGACATTTGGTAAAGCCATCGTGAGTGATCTACATGCGTGTACCTCCCATCTTCCTTTAATCCGTTTTTGTCAACGTTCCTGTGTCTATTCCACTTGTTCTCGTCCTTTATAGTGTCTATCCTACGGCTGTCTGCAACAGATATGTCCTTTTGTCTTAACATCATATGATTGGAATGAATCCTATACATCCTGTTAATATATTGTCTAAACAACCTGCCTGTAGCTTAAATCCTAAACATCATTATGATCTATTGTCTAAACATTCTGTATATAGCTAACGTCCTAAACATCATGTGATTATATTGTCTAAACAACCTACATGTAGCTTAATTATGTCCTAAACATCCTGGAATATATTGACTTAACATCTTGTACTATATATTCATGCAGCTTACGTCCTAAACACCATGTCCCTAAATGACGTCGTGAACATCCTATCAATAAATTGTCTAAACAACCTATATAACCTGCGTCCTACATCATGTGAGCACATTGTCTAAACATCCTGTATCTTGCATAGGTCCTAAACAATCATTAAATATATTGACTAAACAATCTGTCCATATCTCCATATATAAGTGTTTTAAACATTCTCTGAATATCCTGTCTTCAGCATCATGTGCATAGACTCCTCGCTCCACTTTAAATATCCTTGTTTGGATGTAAAAAGTGATCTGTTGTCGGTTTTATGTTCTTTAAGATATAAGATTAATTGGCAAGAATCCTTCCTTTTTCCATACTGTATTAATTTTATTTTTACATATGTTTGCTTCATGTATCACAGATTCTGAATCGCATGTGTTTCGTTTTTATTTCAGTTTTGCTGAAAAGGCTGTCATGGTCCACTTTGTGATCTTAGTACTTTGCTGGTTTACGCTGGAGCCAGAGTTCGTACCTGGATGGGGGTCGCTCTTCAAACATGGGTAAAGTTTACAAAAGAAAGTATATGACTTGTGGGATTTCTTTATCCTGGATTAGATTTCTGTTACATTATATAAAACTCATGGTTGTATAGTCTTTGATATAGAAGTTAAAGATCTGTCACGGTGGATCCTTTTTCATATCTTACTGATTTTATATTTACACCTGTTCGATATTAAAGATACATCAGTGATGCTGTTCCTGCTATGATAATTGGCTGTCTTCTATTCGTGTTCCCAAGTTCCCGAGACCAAAATAACGGTATGTTATTTTCAAAAGCCAACCTACAAAGGGAAATAGCCTGGTATCATATGCTACTTGTAATGCTTGGACTTTTTCAACTGTTTACCGTACGAATGGTAATTACTAGTTTTACGTATTATCATTAGTATATCTTAAATTAAAAGACGAGCTGCTTATATGTTTCTGTTTTCCGGTATAGTTTCTATTTCAGCATACGATCGTGTAATACCAATTTGAAATAACAAGAAAACACGATTTTATAAATGTTAACTGGATTGCAGTTGTGTATTTGAGACTTAATTTGAAATCGAAATTTGAGAGAAACTTTTACAGACAGCTTCCATCTAATAAAGCAGCAGAATGTGTACTTTGCGCTTTGTTTAGCAGCTAATAAAAGAAGTGCGGCGCTTCTTGACTGGAAAACCTTTAACCGGAAGTTGCCGTGGGGCGTTGCCCTACTTCTTGGCGGAGGATTTGCTCTTGCACATGCTTGTAAGGTAGGAGGCAAAGCAATACGCGTTGATGAAGAAATAAGGATTCGGGTTTTAGGGAGGGATGGGTATTTAAGTAGAAGAGTGGAAAATAATCAGGGGTGATATCATATTAACCAACTAACAAAAGTAGTGAAGCGATTTTTGACTGGAAAACTGTTAACCGAAAGCTGCTGTGGGGCGTTGCCCTACTTCTTGGCAGAGGATTAGCTCTTGTACATGCTTGTAAGGTGAATCAATACGTATCTTTTGGGGAGGAGGGGTTATTAAGGTAGTTAACTTAAAATAAACTGAGTTGAGATAATAAAGATATAAAGAGGACTATCTCTGGGGACCGAGATAATTCGGTCATCTATACAACATAAAAACAAAACATAAACATCTATTAGAGATAAATGATATCATGTTTATATTGACTGTTCTATCGGCAGTGTTTTCTTAAAACCAATTGTCATTTAACTGGTTCTAAATACACTTTGTTGTAATTTGTATACCTGGCCTCAATTTCACACGGGGCCGTGCGCTTTTCTCATGTTTTTTTTATACTTTTAAATCACTGCTTCAAATACAAATGTGAGTCTACAGCACTTCTGTATTAAATCATAGATGAATATGTCAATGTACCAGTTTATACTATATACCAACTTCGCATCTGAACATATTGATGGTATTAAGCAAGCTGCAATTATGTATGGATGTCGCTACGGATATGATACTGGTACCCGACCCTGTAATTTTCTCTAAAAAGAACCTTCAGGATGGTGGTGTTTGTATATGTCTTGACGTTTTTAAGTTAACGCATAAACATGTATATATGCGCTCGTATTCAACAGATGGTCAGCTATGACGATTGACCAATGATATATTCAGTTACGACACAGACATGTTTGCCTGCCATTAAACAAAACAATTAACGAACATGCCAATATTAATGATAGTACATCCGTTTGTGAGTAATTATTGTGATTTCTAAAACAATTATACACATATATATATGTATGTATATATTATAGCATAAGGAATCAATACGATATAAAATTGATAGATGAATGAAAACACTTTAAAGAGGTTTCATGTCTTCCTCAGAAATCCGGTTTGTCGCTGTGGCTAGCCCGTATGATGGCGGTAATGACTGGTATCCCAGAATGGGCCATGATTGCAGTCATATGTTTGGTTATCTCCCTTTCAACGGAAATTACGACAAATACCGCTGTGTGTACGATCTTCATGCCCATTCTGGCAGATTTGGTGAGTATTAGGTTCATTTGTAATACTGATATGCATCACATCAAATACCTCTTGGTTTGCCGATATATGGATACGGTTAATTTATATCACGAACAGTCAAAACATTGAGGTGTGCATATCACAAATACAAATAAAAATAATCTGGTAATACTTATTTTTCTGTCATACTGACTCTGTTTCATGCTACATGTTCATAGAGGTATATTACCATCGAATGGCATTGCCACTATATAACCCTTCCAAATTCAGCTTGCATTCATATAGGCTATGAATGTCATGGACCGATTGTTAACGTCATCATTACAATGACGTCATAATTGTTTCGTTGGATACTACTGACCCTTCCGGGCGATGGCTGTTCTATTCATTGGACAAGCTTACACGAAACATACATTATTTGAATTAAATGCTGAATAACAATAAGTGTTATCGAATTTTTTGCGAGATGAACAGATTTAAAAAAATTATAATTATATAAGTATTGAACTGCTTTCAGTTGTCATTCATAGGCGCGCTTCATTGAATTGGCGTTTGTCCAGTTGGCATCCATATTGCCTATGAATGCCAACTGAAAGCAGTTCAATGCTTAAATGCATATCTTAAATACAGAGGAAAGGTAGTCTGGTTCATTTCTTTGCCTTCAAAGAATATCGATAAAACATGTGTTTTAATATATGATATGATACGTAAAAAATTCATAACTTACTACTTTCAGGCCAAAGGGATCCATGTACATCCCATATACATTATGTTTCCGGCAGCGATTTCATCTTCATTTGCATTCATGCTACCCGTAGGAGCGCCACCAAACACTATTGCCTTCTCATATGGGTATCTCAGAATCATCGATATGGTATGTGCGAGAAAATTACATGTTTTCCGAAAGAAAGAAATATTTTGTGGTTAATTTTGTTTTTTCTTTTCAGTAAAAACCGTATAGGGTTATTTTGTTTTCTTTTTCTTTTTTTTATTTCATATCGGACCGTTATTTCCAAGTAAAACAGTTTGGTAAGCATTGCCTGATGTATGTAGATTTTAAAGTGCAGCGATATTTTGCTTTAAGTCGGATGCATACGCATAAGATAAGAATTGTTGTACCTATGTTTTACGGGGGATAAATTATCTTTTGCTTTTTAAGCGAAACCGCTTGTTGGATTGTATGTATAATACCAATGACATTGCAATATAATTAAACGAATACACCACAGACTGTTAGTGTTTAAGAGAATCAGTTCACATCGTGACGTTTTGAATAACGCACAAAATACCAATTTCAGATTTTGAATCGTTATTATTACTTTGAAATATTTAGGGATATCAGTAAAAAAAGAGAGAGATATCGGTTTTACTGGTCATAAATACAAGGATTCTTAACTTAGGGCTAATAAACATATTAGAGATAGTATTTAATTGTTGTAGGTGAAGGTCGGCTGGATCCTCAACCTTTTGTGTGTGGTAGTTGTTACCATCGCCATCAACACATGGGGAATGGCCTACTTCCGGTTGGACGTTTATCCAGAATGGGCTGTCATACAGGGTCAAATGTCATCATCGGTGGCAAATTCTACATTTATTCATTTGATTAACCAAACATCCATTATGACGTCATCAGGGAACTTTACCGAAATTGTGACACCACTGTTAGTTAACTAATATGTGAATTTGAATGAAAAGAGTTTTTCACAAATTCTAAAAATAAAAATTTAATCTCAAACAATTATTGTTCTTAGATGTTTTTTTATGAATAACAGGAAAAAATATCGAAGTTTGAACAAAACAGTATGTTGTACTTTAAACTAGGAACAACAACTAAAGACAGAGGAAAAGTTTATAGTGAGACCCTTGCAAAACAATACAAAGGTGCTAAGACCATTTGTTCCGGAAACATTTGACATCTTCTGGTTCGTCGACGACATCCGGTCAAATCCTAGCCATGTCACGAACTCAAGTGAGACTGGTGTAGCGAAAACCAAATATCTATGCATGTTATCTAAAACGTCGATAATCATGCAATAATCACATCGCGAACACAAAAAAGAGATTTTCCAATGGCATCATAGGGCAGTTATATATACAGTATCTTGCCCATATTCTTAATTAACCTGTTTATCTCGAAAACAGTGTTGGTCTGTCTGTCAGAGCATTAATTAGTTTAATTTACATTTATCATTGAGTTTATATTTAAGGTATGACTACTGTTTGTGCAAAAAAACATTACTTTGCAGCGTCGTCGTAACGAACTTGTAAACCACAAGAGACACTGTCAGATTCATCGGTCAACTCTTTCATGGGCCAACTCCTGCATGTTAGACGGCTGGTTCTGACGTTTGACTGTGTATAAATAATGTTTGTAAAGTTACATAATTATGTAACACAGGATTTGACGTGAGGATGCAATTTCTTAATTCATATATAATTGCGAGAAAATTATCCTTTTGATTATGACAATTTTTCTGGCATATCAATAATTAAGTATTTGGACAAAACACATAAAAAATAAGAAATTGTTGTTCCCGGATCTGGTTCATTCCCTTGCAACTTATTTGGAGAATATGTTGCCATGATTGCTTAGATATCCAAGTGAGCGATACAGGCCCTTTGGACCTCTTGTTAATAGTTATACAGAAAATAAGTTAAAGTAATATAAGTGTGTTACATGCAGACACTTTTCCATAGATCTTTCTTTGATGCAGGGCTTTCACAACGAATCATTAGTATGTATCATCATCATAATCATTTACATATTTATCATAGTAGAATACGTGTCGGGTCATGCCATCACAGATTTCCATCCCGTGGTCCTATGTCCATGTATATAGTAAATAATGTTACACGCACGCCACTATCATTTGTTCTCTTTCATGTGTATGGTCCAACTTTCTTCGAAATGACAATTCGGAATATCTTGCGGAAAAACAAAACCCTGCTGTTGACATTCCTACCACCGATTGTGCTTCTACCTTTACCCTTATCTGGACAATCACAGGTAACACTATAACGTTGATGAAATGGCAACATTTGTTTTGATTGTGCTTTACGTCCTGTTTACAGCTTTAGTCATTTAAGGTTCAATGACGATCCGGGATTTGTACATTGTACATGTACCAATGGTAACATCAGCTGCAATATAATTCATAAGTGAGGATGTAGCCTCGTTACTTAGTTTTTTTTGTTTTTGTCAATATCCACGCCTGCTGATGAATCCTAGTCAATGTAGAATAGGAACGAACTGTACATTGTCACTCTTATTTAAGAAAACATAGTCTTACGTTTTTTCTTTAAATATAAATAAAAATAATGTTGTTTCTAGTATCTGATCTAAACTGTTCGAGTAACAAATTGTTGAATCTGTTCTTCAAAAATCACTAACATGCAAAATGATCTATATTTATCAGAAGACACATCTATGTAAATACACCAAATGTAAGAATCAAGGCGCTTGCTGGTCCAACATTATTTTTTGCCTTGTTTTGTTTGAGATCACGTATAACATGTTAAAAGGTATGACTTTATGGACAGGAATAAGTGGTATAGTCTTTTAGAATGGTTAAAATGTTCTTGGCGCCATAGCAACAGGATTCAAACAGAGGGGAAGTTGTTGAAAGAATGACCCTGTTGTGTAATGTTTACCCATGAATATATATATATTACAAATTAAGTATCATATATTTTTGTTTTAGATAGGAAATGTTATTTATGATAACCAGGTTTCTTATTTTATCTTACTTGTTACAGATAGAATTCCATTTATTGGTAATAAAATTGACGGCGAGTATTAATGGATAAATCAGAATTATGTAACAAAATTATATTTCGGAACAGTATTTACGACAAATCATATAGCATGCCACAGGATGTAATGAGGATATGTCCGTAATTATGTTCTAACTTACAGAAGTACATGTATAACCCTTTCACCACTGTAGACCATAATTGACTCATCCATGTCAATGCATGGTAGAGTCTACTGAAGTTACAAAGGGGTGAAAGGGGAAAACTGCAAGCTGAAGAAAACCATCAATTGATATTCTCTAAAAAGTTTGACAATAAAGCAGGATTAAGCATATATTATATTTGAGGCACATTTTTAATTGGTTAAACATTTCCAAGAACGTGATAATGAAGCCCAAACTGTAATGACTCAGACTTATCATACCGGAGTAACTTGGTAAGTCTATAAAGGGGCAAGCCTTTACAAATGACAAACTGATTCAATTATATCCATGAAATAAGGAAACGTTTGCTTCCACGAAAACATTTCTATTTGTTTGCTCTGAAACATTTTGTGTTGGTGGTCATAAATTACGTACCGTATGTGTTACCCCTTGTTGATCCGTCAACGCAAATATATTGCTGTTTAAATAAGACACTCTTAATACTTATTCTTAAGGTTACTTATTCATATTTTATTTTGAATCAGGAATCAAAATGTGCTTACGGTCTACTTCTTATGGCGTTCTACTGGACCACAGAGACGTTTCCGGTCGCCATTACCGCCACACTTCCGGTTATATTATTTCCAATGATGGGTATCAGTAAAGTTGGCGACCTGGCCTCCAAGTATTTTCATGTACGATTAACTTTTTTTTTCTTCGAATATATATGATTATTGGTCTAATTTCTCTTGAAGCGTGTATATATATTTAATGTTCGTAGTTATATTTCGATAAAACTTTGATAAGGTCGTGTTTATTCCTTTATTCTTTGTTGGAAAAATTTAGGAAAAATGTTTTCAGGCATAATGTAGTGGATGCTGTTATTAACGATATATTGCTTATGATACATCTAGGTGATGTTGATATTGCAATTAATAATAAGCCTTGCCATCAAATTAGAATGGAAATGGGGGTGCGTTTGGGATGCATACATGTATGTTCAACCATTTAGTGTATGATCACATGCTTTTAATATCTAGACAGGACAAATTTAAGAAAAAGCTAGACTTTGTGTAGTCAACATTGTATTGTCTAGTAACAACATGATAGGTGATATAATGCATGCAAGATATTGCAATTGTATTTCACCCACAACCAATAAAGATTTTTCTCACTCCTGATTCCTTGGATAAACCTGCTAGGAGTTGGTAAACAGTTTTGGTAACGCCCAATGGATAACATCCATGAACCTGGACGTCATCTTATTGGTTAATCTTCTAATTATGACGTCAGGTAACAATGCTGTGCGACGTCATCTTCCATTGTGACATCACAGTTTATGGCAAATATTCACACGATCGGATATAGTAATAATGAATTCGAAAGAGAAAAAAATATATGGTTTAAATATATATTATTTGAACATGGCGTGAGAAAAGAGTCCCTTAACTCGTCATGGTTGATTAGCATGTTTATCCGAATCTGGTGAGTTCCTTTTCAAATTTTAATAGACACTTGGTTACCTCGTGTCTTACTAGAATTTGAAAATCAACTAGCTCAAGTTAGAGCAACATGATAACCAATCACCTGTCGTTGGAAATCCTCTAATGATGTTACAGCGTATAGCACTGCATAACAACCTGAGTATATGATCAATGTATATAAGCATAAACGCGAATTTCTTTGGTATTCAGATGAGTGTTCTTTGTATTTGATTCTTTAGACCTGAACAACACTTGAACAGTCTCGCCGCAAAAACTTTTTTCACGTCTCGGGGTAATAATTATCGTTATAAACCGTTATATTTATATTTTAAATATATTTCAGCATATTACATTTGTCATGATTGGTGGTTTGGCTGTTGCTATAGCCATCGAAAAATGGAACGTCCATACACGTATAGCATTACGGCTATTACTGACCATGGGTACCACTCCGAAATGGTGAGTGTTACCGGGTTGCTTCAAATTGACGTATCTTTATTATTACTCTACACGCAAATTGTTCCCCATACCTTCAATTAACACTTCACCAAAGTCTTTTTAACTTACTCCGAGTGTAAACGTTCGGAGCTCTTCAAAAAACAGAACATGATTTTACACATACACTGAGTATGATAAATGATAACTGTGATAAAAAATATATTTTATGTGCAGAATGTAACTTATTGATACATGCACAAGTAATTTATATCATGGCTTTTTCTCTTAAATGGATCATATATAATATCAGTCTAAGTAAGGTACCGACAAGAATGCATGTTCACATAGTTGCAAAAGAAGGCAAGATCCACTTTCAAATCTTGTTTTTACCTTGGTAGAATGTACACTCCTAAATACATATTGTGTATGGATTTCTTTGCGTACGTTTTTGTAAATACACGTAGTTCCTGTAATATGTAGCATGTGGATTTATCGTGGTATAGGTATTGGTACTGGCAAATGATGAATATATCATGCTTCATTAATATTAATATGTGTGATCGTTGTACGTGACTGTGGAACTATCTTAAAATTAAGTACATTGAAACTTGCATATATTTGGTTTGCCGAATTGAATGTACACCATCAGGGCATGTGTTTGCCTAGACTTCCATTTACTTCTACATACAGTGTACCAGGTGCATGTACTAGAAAAAACACGGTAACCGATACAATACTAATTTACATGTATGGATTATCGAGCAGTCTTCATTCACATATAGCTCACGGTAATTCATGTATAACGCACATGTCTTTGTTTTGGTCATGTTCAATGTATGAACAACGTTGACAGAATGACGCATATATCCTTATAAATACATGTAAACCGCCAAACTGAAAATACCCATATACCTTTTATTAATAATGATTAATAATGAACAAATATGATCTATGTCTGTTAGGCTCATGCTTGGCTTCATGTTGACCACTTCGTTCCTGTCCATGTGGATCAGTAATACGGCCACAACGTCCATCATGATCCCAATAGCCCAAGCCGTTCTGACCCAGCTGATGGGCATGCGAGTGTCACGTGATCAACTCAAACCTGATCAGGATACACGTGAGTGGTGATGTATAGTCGATATATCCGGTTTGTATTCATAAGTTGTTTGTTACAACAAAATCAACTATTGTTTCTCCGTTAGCCTTAAGATCAGAGTGTTATTTTCATTAAAAGTATAACGTGTTTTGACGACTCAAACATATTTGTATCTGCTTTACCACTTTTTAGACAATAAGGAGTGATATACCAAATATTTGAAAAACGATTAAGTTAAGTAGTAGTGCAATGGGTATATGATGCAGACATGTACACTCTTACAGAAATGATATTCCGAATGTATCAACATTTTCCTTTAAATTCACTTTGATATCAATTATATGATTAAAAACATATTGCAGTATAGATACATCTGTTTTTAAGGAAACGATGAGAAGAATATACATACCATTCAAGAAATGTATGTAAACGGAGACACGAAGGTGGCGTTGGATTTGCCTGATGTAGAACCATCTGAGAGTGTCGGGATAACTATACAACAACCAGACCCTGACGGAAAGCAGAAGTTGACCATTCAGCAAGCACACCAAAGTGTAGAACAACCCGAGCCTGTCGAGGGGTTTGTGTTTGAATAATGATAAATGGGGCTTCAACCCAAGAATTAAAAATCACTGATGTTATCATGTAGTCAGTTGACTATCAAAACTTATTCACCCCTGAAGACACATTTGAACCTCTCCAATTCAAAGGTTGGAATAGGTCAATATGAAATTTCAGGGCTGAATAAGTTATATAACTCTTATCATTTTAACCTACTGCTATCCGTTTTCGTCCGTCGTCTTTCACTTTTTACTTTACAACTCAAATTCTACTAAATCTATTTTGCTAAAACTTGTTGGAAATGATCAGTGCATGAATCTGCACAATCGTTGTTATTTTTGAGCCAACTAAAGAACGCAATATGACCGTCAATTAGAAAATTAAATCTGAACTTCAACTAGATATCTACTGGGCATTACTTGATCTACAAATGTTAAAATTTGTCCGAAAATATTCATTACGGCTAGTTTTGTTTTTTCTTCTTCTTTCTTTCTTTCTTTCTTTCGGTTGCTCATTAATGTCACAAAGCAAACAGAAATTTGAAATTTGAGTTACATGTGTATATAAAATGTTGTAGTTCAAAAGTAACACGGTAAATATAACATGATATCTATTCTTGCAGTTCTGTTGGATCTATGTCATTCAGTTAGGCAATGACACAGATTTAAGTGTAAACCCCTATCACTTTTACATATACATATACCATTGATCTATTTGAAAAGATGACATATACATGGTTTTCAGAAAAAAAATCTTTTCATTGTAGAAATGTCCAGTTTTAAGACCTCAACATGAAAAAGTTAGCATTATTGTTTTTATGAAGTCATCAGAGGGCTTGTTAGTGTTATATTAAGAGCTTGTTCTTCTAAAATACTCGGTCTTGCTTTTAATATTTGTCGACCTTCAAGATGTTGTTTTGTCTGTCTCTACGATTAGTGTGTATCGACAACGCGTTGTAATTTATTTTTTCTGCATACTTGTTTTCTTTTTCAAGGGCAAAACATATGTATCCATTTGTTTATTCACACATCTACTGTTATTTTAGAGACAAATTGATCAAAGTGAAGATGGAAGAAGAGGGGGATTTTGACTTTGAGGCCCTCGATCCCGAGTCAAAGAACCTCTGTAAGGCTATGTTACTGTCTATATGTTACGCGGCGAACTGTGGGGGTGTAGCTACACTGACCGGAACTGGAGCTAACCTCGTCATGAAGGGACAGGCGGACTTGTGAGTACAGAAACAAAGATACAGTGTGCTTTTCTGAGCAACCACGGTTTTAGTAACGAGTCTGACCGTAACCTGCTGTGTATGGACATGGTCTTCTGGATCACAAATGTGTGATTGTACACTACACACCTTCCCCATATATCACACAGGCCTGGTTGACTAATTTTCCTGTATGCCATTCTGACAAGCTAAATTTGAAATACAATATTCAAATTGCGCTGTATTATTTGAACACGACGAGACATCATTACTACTGTGAAGTACCTGACAGATGTTTTCCTTTCTGCGAAAAAAGCTGATACAGATACATACGAAATAACTTAATAAATGTTTTCTGAAGAAAACACCTTTTTTGAGAGTGCGCTGTCGTATTACTATCTAAAAATTAGCGGTTATTTATAAAATTACTGCACGACTTTTCTATAAAGAATGTCCTCCTAGCTAAATTGGTAAAAACAGGTTAGGAAATTTAAATCTGTAGTCTCGGATGTGGCACTGAGTGTAGATATGATATAGAAACGTAAAAAAACTATTGTGTTTCATTTATACGCTAGGATGTCGGATGGTGAATCGGGGATAACGTTTGCGACTTGGTTCGTCTTCGCCTTCCCCGTGGCTGTCATCAACGTGCTGCTGGCCTGGCTATGTCTGCAGGTCGTCTATTTCGGATTACGGTAGGTGACGTCACTGTGACGTCAATAATATGTTTATCTTATTTTATCAATTCGTGCACCGAGTCACACAACCAATAAATAACAAAAAATATGCAGTAAGCAGATTTTTCTATGTGACTGAATGTTATTCTGCCATACGCTTTATATTGTTGGGTTGACCAACACAAGAAACGTTTTCAAGAGTTGTCTTTATAATTTGTTTTGGTAAGGCATGTTGATGACGTGATTACGCTTCTTAAGATATTGTTTGTCACATGTTTTATCATATGAGGAAGTCAATATGTTGGTTATATACTAAAAGTATTCATATTATGGTTTTAGAAACCTGTTCAAATCTGGTGACAAATCGGAAGGTGAGGCGGTGAAAAAGATTATACGTTCTCAATACGATTCCTTGGGAAATATGAGGTAGGTATCATGGAAACTTTTCGATTCGCTGAGAAATTGGAATAGAAGAATGTTTTAACATGCAGTAACCGTCGGAAAGTTAACTTAATCTAATACGATCTTTACTGGTGTTAATTACATAATGCAGTTCTACTCTACATTCAGTATGAGTCATTTGGTAAAGCCAACTTGAGTGCTCTTCATGCGTGTACATCCCATCTTCCTCTAATCCGTTCTTTTCCACGTTCTTATATATATTCAACATGTTCCCGTCCTTTATAAAGTCCACCGTATGGCTGTCTGCAACAGAAATGCCCTTTTTGCCTTAACATGACATGAATGGATTGAATCCTAAACATCCTGTTAATATATTGTTTAAACATCCTGTCTATAGCTTACGTCCTAAACATCATTAGGATATATTGTCTAAACATTCTGTATATAGCTAACCTCCTAAACATTATGTGGTTATATTGTCTAAACAACATTATGTAGCTTAATTATGTCCTAAACATCCTGTTTGTAGCTTACGTTCTAAACATCATTAGAATCCATTGTCTAAACATTCTGTATATAGCCTACGTCCTAAACATAGCATAAGACATTTTCTAAAAATCCAGTATATAGCTAACGTCCTAAACACCATGTGATTATATTGTCTAAACAACATATAAGTAGCTTAATTATGTCCCAAACATCCTGGAATATATTGACTTAACATCTTGTACTATATAATCATGCAGCTTACGTCCTAAACATCATATCTGTAACTGACGTCGTGAACATCCTATCAATAAATTGTCTAAACAACCTATATAACCTACGTCCTAGAATCATGTGAGCACATTGTCTAAACATCCTGTATATTGCATAGGTCCTAAACAATCATTAAATATATTTACTAAACAACCTGTCCATAGCTCTAAGATCTAAACATTCTCTGAATATCCCGTCTTCAGCATCATGTGCATAGATGTAGACTCATCGCTCCACTTCAAATATCCTTGTGTTGATGTAAAAAGTGTTCTGTTGTCGGTTTTATGTTCTTTAAGATGTAAGATTAATTTGCAAGAATGCTTCCTTTTTCCATGCTGTATTAATTTTATTTTTACATGTGTTTGATTCATGTATCACAGGCATGTGTTTCGTTTTTACTTCAGTTTTGCTGAAAAGGCTGTCATGGTCCACTTTGCGATCTTAGTACTTTGCTGGTTTACGCTGAAGCCAGAGTTCGTACCTGGATGGGGGTCGCTCTTCAAACATGGGTAACGTTTACAAAAAAAAGTATATGTCTTGTTGAATTTCTAAACATTTTCTTCAAGTTGCTAAGTATAGATTATGAAAAGTTCTTTTTACACAACCAATAAGAGTTTTTATGTGACGTTTCGATGACTAGTACGGTATGTATACACTGTCACCTTCATCAGACAAATGACCACTGAAGCCTATGCGCACAAAGGTGTAAAATATTTTAGGAGTTATCCACAAAATCGATTCGGTTACGCTGTAAGCGAATGTACAATATAGAGTTGTTTTATCTGTACCGAAGTGACTCGATTCGGTGAATTTCTTGTCGTAACCGTTGAATTTATTCATTCTGGGTTTGATTTTCGTTACAATATAAGAAGACTCCTTTGATGTATATGCTTAAGATGAATCTCTATATGAATCTTTTTTTCATACCTCACTGAATCTATATTTACACCTGTTCGATATTACAGATACATCAGTGATGCTGTTCCTGCTATGATAATTTGCTGTCTTCTCTTCGTGTTCCCAAGTTCACGAAACCAAAATAACGGTATGTTATTTTCAAAAGCCAACCTTAAAAGGAAATAGCCTGATATTATATTTTGACTGTAATTCTTTGTTTATTCATCTGTTTACTAGTATTTTATTAGTAAGCCTATATCTTAAATTAAAAGTCGAGCTGCTTATACGTTTCTGGTTTCCGTAATAGTTTCTATTATATCGTATTATTGTGTTATACCGACTTGAAATAACAGGCAAACTCGATTACTTAAATGTTAGCTGGATTGCAATTGTTTACTTGATACATACATATTTACAAACAGTTTCCACTTAGTATAGCTTAAAAGATTATGTTGTTCGTCGAGTACGTTATTATATCAGAAGACTCATTATCTAACTGATTTTGATTTAAGCAGCTAACAAAAGTAGTGCGACGCTTCTTGACTGGAAAACCTTTAACCGGAAGTTCCCGTGGGGCGTTGCCCTACTTCTTGGCGGAGGATTTGCTCTTGCACATGCTTGTAAGGTAGGCGGTAAAATAATACGCGTTAATGAAGAAATACGGAATTGAGCTTTTTAGGTATAATATTAAACGAAATGTTTATTAGAGATAAATGATATCATGTTATTATTGACGGTTCTATCGATAGTGTTTTCTTTAAACACATTGCCACGTAACTGGTTCGAAATACAACCTGTACCAATTTGTAATCATGACTTTAATTTCACACGGGGCCGTGCGCTTTTCTCGTGTTGTTCATACTTTAAATCACTGCTTCAAATACAATTGTGAGTCTACAGCACTTCTATACTAAATCATGTTTCATAGATGAATATGTCAATGTACTAGTTTATACTAGATAGCAACTTCGCTTTGAACATATTTATGGTATTAAGCAAGTTGCAATCATGTAATGATGTCTCAACGGACATGCCGTCTTTGCGTATTGCAGAGTTATCTTCTCTTGTGAGCAGGTA